CCAATCCTGTTCTAATCTTTTCAAAATAATGTAAGCTATCTGTTACAAAGGTGTGCATATAAATTAGTTTTTAATCTTGCAGGAACGTTGTGTTCCTTAATGTTTATGTCTGATTTTCAGTGACTTCCTGAACAAGTCCCTGAAGTTTTCTTGGGAAGGTTTTTCAGAAGTTTGCCATTGATTCCTTCCTACAGCTGAGAGAGAGAGAGAGTGACTGGCCTAGGTCATCCAGCTGGTTTTGTACCTAAAACGGTCTCCCAGTGTGTAGCCTGATGCTTTAACTGCCACACTAAAGTGGCTCTCAGGTCACCTATAATGAAATACAATTATGAATTTGTCAGAAGCTATTTGTGTCATGGATTTATATGCATCAAGGCTTACAATACCGCCAGTAATTGATTAACCTCATTTAATCAGCAACATTTCTGCAATTTCCTAATTAAATTTCAAAATGTTTTATAAACTGCTTACCCTATCGCCAGAAAGCATTCACGTAGCTTATAAATACACAGTACACAATCCAGCGGCGCTATTATCTCCATAATATTAATATTCTACCATATTGGAGCACTGGTGCTCTTCTGTCCCACTTCTATCATTTTTCCTCCTCCTCCAAATCCTGAAGCTGATTCTGTATTCAGGATAACTAAGAACATTTCCAAGTTGTCATTATCTCACTTTCTCAAACCTTAGAGCTCTGTTTACAATAGTCCATGAATATGTTCACTTGCAACCATTGCCAGAACAGACAACCTGCATTCTTTCAGAGAACTCATAAGAAAGAAAATAAACTAACCTTTATCCAATACCCTTTCCCTCTCCCCATTCCTGATTTTTCACTGCATTAGTTTGCTGGGGGGGGGGGGGGGGGAGAAATAGGTTGATCTGCAAACAATTCTTGAAGTATGGTTTAAGTATGTGTCATGTCTTCCTGGGTAGTTTTCTTTGAATATTGTAAGCCTGAACAAAGATACAAAGCCCTTGCTCTCATTGGCACAGTACCAATGAACAAGTGTAGTTCAGAACAAATGCTTGTCTTTTCCTTCTTTTCTTTGTAACTGCATTTCTCTGGCCTTCTTCCTACACATCTGGGCATCGTTCCAACTCAGCACTAGTTTATATTTCAACCCGGTTGAATCAGCCTTGGAATCTTTCCCAGGGAAATGAGCTTGCTTTTTCTTACAAGGGGAGGCTGACAACCTAATAATGACCTTTTCTATCCCAAACCTTATATTTTCTTCTTCTTGCTGAGAACTCTTGTTTATCAGCACCGGAGCACTGAGGCAGCTTCGTTGTCACGACTTGGTCACATGATTCTCATTATTTAGAATTTTTCCTAACTATTCTTAGCTGATCAGTCCTGTCCATCCAATTGATAGAACAGCCTTATCAACAATTACTCAATTTACGGTTGGTTAAAAACATCACAGGAACGAATACAGCTAAATGCAATAATAACAGAGTACTGGGGGTTAGATAAAAAACCCATGCAGTATCACAGGCTGTTCTGGGACTAGATTTCCTCAAAACACCAAGTTTTTGAAGGCTAGTGAAGCCCAGATAAGCCATAGAGAGAATGTTATTTCAGAAGTCAGGAGCAGTAACATGGAAGGCTGTTCCATTCCACAAGATGGCACCACTACTTGTTTTCAGAAGGCAAGACAAGAAACAATGGATGGAAACTAAACAAGGAGAGAAGGAACTGAGAAGTAAGGAGAAACATTCTAACAGTGAGAACAGCTTGCCTTCAGAAGTTGTGGCTACTCAATCACTAGAGGCTTTTAAGAAGAAACCGGACAGCCATTTGTTTGAAATGGTACAGGGTCTCCTGCTTGAACAGGGGTTTGGACAAGAAGACCTCCAAGGTCCCTTCAGACTCTGTTAGTCTGTTAAAAATAAGTATGCCCACCTTGCCACACCTTATAGGATGGACAGAAGACAATGATAGAAATGTGGTTCCATAAATAATCAGGGTCCAAACTATGTAGAGTTTTGTGGACGATAATCAGAAATTTGATGGTAACCAGAAACTTGAATTGCACCCAGAAATCAATTGGCAGCTAGTGCAGCTTGTGAATTACAGGAATCAAGAAGGCATACCAAATTCTATACAGCTGTAGAGGATTCCTATGTAGAGTCCATTACAGTAGTCCAAATAGAATGTGAGTAGGGAGAGAAATATAGGTTTTTATCTCTTGCCACCACCCCTTGTTACCACTAGTTATTAATGGCTTTGATGTGATGACAGGCTGGGCTGGGTTGATAACTGTTATAGCTTCTTCACAACTGGACCTTTGACCTGCCTTCCTCTACTTAGTTTACTTTTGCTCAGCCAGAATTTGTGTACAGTATTGTACGTTTCTGTGATGTTATCAGTATCAGTTGTTGGAATATCAGTAGTTGCCTCAGAGTCATAATTTCAAGTTCAAACAATTCCTAGCTCTAGGCTCCTACTCCCTTTTTACTATCTACTTGAAAAGCTGCTTCATGTTTTTACTGTAGGCCCAAAATAGAATCTGGCTTCTGTTTGCAAACATTGCTGGAAAAATCCAACATTCCAAGTGCGTAGCAAATCTTCCAAATGCAATTAAATTTGATTTAATTTAAAAGGATAAAAATGTGTCTTGGCTAGATAAATGGTTTCCATGTTTGTAACAACAAATCTTTTTCTTAGCCTTTCCCCCTGCCAGGACAGTCAAAATGATTTTCTACCAACCAAATGTTCTGATATGTATATAGTTCCTTTTTATTACAGTATTGTACTTTTTCTTTTATTTATTTATTTATTTATTTATTTATTTATCAAATTAACTTATATGGGTGCCCATGTCCCCTAAAATGGATTTTTTCTAGTTAAAGGAATTTCAGTATTAGAGGCAATGAAAGTCTTGCTCTCAGTTTCTAGAAGGTAGGAGAATATTGTTTTCTATCCACTTCCAGTCCACCACAAATGTGTCCCCTTTTTGTATTTTGAAGACCTACAATTTCTATTCCAAGCCACCTGAAATTCCTTTCAGCAGTTAATCCACAATATTTCATTCTAATTTAGTGTCATCTCCAGCTCTGATTGTACCTGGAAACATAGTTTGATATTATTATTGTTGCTGCTGTTGTTGCCCATCGCATAGTCAGACAGATGTTCAGACTGCATTTGGCATTTTTGTCTACCTATCAAGTCTTTTCCAAGGTCCTGGGATAGATAGATGTTGATTTTTGATGGTGTTACAGGTATTATTACAGGATATAAGCTGTTAATGAGTAAGTTGCCTTTAGCAATGGGCTGATGGTGTTCAAATGGTGCTCCAGTTGTTTTGGAATTGCACCCAAGGTGCCTATTACTATTGGTAATTGGTAAGCAATTGCTTACCAATTTGCTTACTTTTGCCACAGTCATTCTAAATCTATTTGCATTTTGTTATCTTCTCCAGTTCTTTCTCTTCTCTTCTGTTCTCTCCAGCTACTGCCACGTCCACCATCCAGATTTTTTTTGTCTTTATTGAAAATGGTTAAGTCTGGGTTATTATTGCTAAAAACATAATGTCTATCTAATCTAATCAAAATCCAGTGAATGCCTTCCAGTTCTTAATGATCTATTGTATCCATATTATTTTCAATTTAATCCAATGCATACCTATTCATAAGTAAACCCAATGAATTACTTGGGTTTGTAATCATAAAAGTATGCACAGAGCTGCAGCCTCAGTTTCTGGCCAGCTATAAGTTCTATTATAAGAAACAGCTGCATGGTTGGGAGAGTGCTACTTATTTCTTAGCCGTGCTGGATTTGCTAGGAAACGATGATTTATGATGCTCCAGGCTGAATTTTTTTATTTTGAAAGCAAGTTGAGTCAGCATACTTTTTATAGAGTCAAATCATGAACTTTTTATAGAGTTAAATCAATATTAAATAAAGAATATACTTAAAGAATCAGTACATTATGATTCTTTGTTGAAGAATAAGGAAACACAGATAAAGTAGATCCAACTCTAATATCGTAATATCTTAAAATTTAATCCTATAGAATCACAGTATAAAATGCTTAATTTTCCTATGTAGGTTTTTCAAGGACACCAGAAGATTGGACTATACTATGTACTATACTTTTCTTAGAATTTCTAAGAGAGTGATGCAAAGACTGAGCAAAAATTGTCCTTTGATTAGGGAGATAACTTATTTTTGACAAGTGCAATCAAACCCCAGATATCAATTCAAGAAGCTAAAGAATAATGTTGGTAAGAGTTATTGAAATGGAGAAGGCTTGGAAAGCGGGTCATTTTGAAGAAGGAGATCTGTCTCTTATCAAAGTGTCTTTTTATCGTTTTTTTTAAAAAGTTAAAGTCTTCCTAAAGTTGAGCTTTACTTTTGGTGATTGCATGAACACATGACAAGTAGGATGTCTTGGAAAAAGCAAAAATGATATGGTTATCTGATTTCTATGTTTTGCTTTGCTGGAAAAAGCCTCTTTGAATTTGTTCTGATTAAAACATTTGTCTCAAATTATGACATTAATATTGACTAGTTAATATGCATGAAATTGTTCTAAAGGAAACAGATATACTTTGTTAAAAGCACCCACTCTTCACCATTTCAGCTGTTAAAAGAAAATGGCTGTTTCCAGCAAATCAAGTAAATCAAAATTTTCACATTGACTGAACATTCGAGCTGAATTAGAATGTTTTTTTTGACTAGCAGCTCAATCCTAGGCAAGAGGTAACTTTCATTTATTTCAGTGGGCTTGAATCCCAGAAATGTTGTAATGGATCACAGTCTCAGTCATTCATAATCCCACAACCCCAAAGCCAATTTGTAGCAACAAAGCTGATAAGATAAGAGCCATCATTACAGTTAGCTAATGTAATTAACCCTCAAACAAAGCAAAATATACTTTAAGCAGCTATCACAGCATAACCACAGCATATAACAGCTATAATTCACTTGTGGATTCCAAAATCATCACCGCAAATATTTGTTTTTCAAGGCACATGCTTCAAGAGCTTACCTGTGAGGCATGCCACTGGTATGAGCTACCGTATATTCATAGGATAATTCACAGATTTTTAGGTACCAGTTCATTTCCAGTTGGTGCAAAAGGGCCAGAATTCTGGACTTTTGTTTCATCTGCCCATAAATACTGTATCTGTTCTCCTTTTCTACAGAGACTTTTTCAAAGTCCTGTTGCTTCTTTAACTCTGGATTCTTTCTCTTCATTATCCCACCAGTCCGGACTACAAACATCCTTGCTCTTTGTCCATACAAGTGGAAAACACCATTTAAGACTCCAGTCTCAAATCATAGCAACTGATTTTTTTTCCATCATGTACTTTTATCCTGCAAGAGCCTTAACCTGGTCACAAAACTGTAATCAGATATGTCTACAGACTTAAACTAGAAAGCAGAGTAGTAAAGTTTCTAAAGCTGCATCAGGTAGCAGCTTTTGTTCTTTTTAACTGTATCACTGGTTTTAGTTTTTATTTTTTTTTAAAAGAAAACAAGCACTCTTGGAAATACTGATAGAGTATATGTGATTTCTCAGTGTAGTGGTGGTAGGAATACATGAACAGATTTAGAGATTGTTAATTACTATTTCATAAATTTTATGACTCAATCCTGGATACATTCTTGAACATATGCCTTAAGTTCAGGTCTGAATAGGAAAATCCATGTCAGAAGATGTAAGCTGATGCTTTTTAGGTAACATTCAATTAAAGCAGCATTTCCCTTTGTTCAATTATTAAAGAATAAGGAGATTTTTGGATTTTGAAGATGCAGGATAGGAAGAGTATTGAAGCTTTGGTATTGCAAAAGGTTCTTGAGAATATCATGGACAGCCAAGAACACAAAAGAAAAGGAAAAATGGATAAACCAAGAGTTGTCACTTGTGGCACAAATGACCGTGCTCAATTGTCATACCTCCAGGGTTATGATGGAGGAGGAAGGAGAAAGAATAGAATGATCAGCAGCAAGATGCATGGTTACAGTAGGAAAGGGTGATCCACGGGAAGACTTAAGCTGTGGTGGCACAGTGGTTAGAGTGCAGTATTGCAGACTACTTCTGCTGACTGCCGGCTGACTGCAACTTGGCAGTTTAAATCTCTCCAGGCTCAAGGTTGACTCAGCCTTCCAACCTTCTGAGGTGGGTAAAATGAGGACCCAAATTGTTGGGGGCAAGATGCTGACCCTATAAACCGCTTAGAGAAGGCTGTAAAAGCACTGTGATGCGGTATATAAGTCTAAGTGCTATTGCTATTACGAAGCAGGTTAAGATTGTGCTGGAGAAAATCTACTTAGTGGTCACTTTTAAAAGTCAATGCAGAGTTGATAGCACATAATAAGCAATGTTGTGTTATTAGGAGTTCACCAAATTGTTTTGGTACTTTCTTTGCATAACTAGCCCACACAGTTCTCAATTCCAGTTCCCTACCTTTTCAAACAGCAATGTTTTTTTTTTATTAAAGATACTGGTTTTATAAATTGAATGAACTTCAATTATTGAAGTTTGTATTTGAAAATGGAGCATGGAAACAGGTCCAGATGTTAATATAGCTAAAAAAGATACAACGTGATTATTATATCCAGCTAACATAGAAAGTAATTCTCTCCCAAATATACTGGAATAGGTTTTATACATAAATCCAGAAAAAAAATACATATACATACATACATACCTACATACATACATACATACATATCACACACACACACACACACACACACACACACACACACACGAAATATAAATTGATTTTTCAAAGAATAGATGAATGAATTGTTTTAAAAAATAAGAAAATGAAAGAATGAATATGGGAAATTGCATAAACAATGACTGTAGTCTATAGATTCACATTTAGAGAATAGTAATATGAAAACTTGAGGTATTAAAAACTGGAGCCAAACTATTAAAATACCCTTGGATTAAATATTTGGGTCATTCTGAGTTTTATCGTGTTTCCTTAACATAATATTCCATTAGATCCTTTGCTTAATCTCTCCAAAGTGTTATTAAAATGTCAGTATTTTAAAAAGAAAAGATAAAGAAAATGAATTATTTTATGACTCTGGATTGTTTCCAGATCTTTCTTCATCGTCTCTCCCTCTTTTATTGTAAGGGAACTTTCTTTTTCTCATTTCAGGATACAATAGAATACAGTACATCACCCTGGAGGAATCTGGTGTCTTAAATGAAGTCTTTCCATGTTCATAATAAGTTAAGTGAATAAATCAGCAACATTCGAAAAGATTTCTGTATTTTCATATATGTAAATTAATGTCGGGTTCTTTGTTGAACCTTAACTAATTTAGAGGCCGCACAATTTTGAGACAATTTAATTTCTTTAAGCAGAACAGGCTTAGGGAATCTTTATTATAGTCTTACCTCTCCCCCAAACAAAATAGCTATGAAACAGGTAGATATGCAGATGTCAGCATTTTTTTTAGTCTCCTTAGAAAAGGTGAACAGTTACAGTATTTATGGGCAGATGAAACAAAAGTCCAGAATTCTGGCCCTTTTGCACCAACTGGATTGCATTGTCCGAAGACACTTCTGTGATTATGTGGCCAGCATAACTATACACCAAGATGCATTGAATGCTGTTACCTTCCCACCAAAGTGGTACCAATTTATCTATTCACATTTGAATGCTTTCAAACTGCTAGATGGGCAGAAGCTGGGCAAGTAACCACAGCTCACCCTGTTGCATGGCACTCAGGTGTTTCCAGCTGACAAGCACAGTGTTTCTAACTGCTGAGACATTGCGCCCCAAGAAATGCACAAACCAAAAGTCTATAAATAAAAAATAAAAATAAATACAATGAAATAGCTTAAAAATAAATTAAAATATAGTAGTGGAAATAGACAATTTCCACTAATAGACAATGTTTATTCAGGTAACTGTACAACATGCATTCACTCAAAAACTTTTGCCATTCAAGAATCCCAAACCAACCTATGAAAAATGTAGAATTAAGATACTGTCATGACTCTGAACTAGAAGACTGATGTAATATTCTTTAACTATTAATAGCAGCCTTCTTCAACAGTTCAGCTGGGTTTCCATAGCCAGTTCAGTTTACTTACCGTAAGAGAAACAACTGTAACCTAATTGTTAATTAATGTTGAAGACAAAAAAGTAAGTAAAACAGACTCCGGCATTCCATTCTAGAACAAAATTACATACAGAATATGCTCCAAAACTTTTGCAATCTTCACTCAGCTGGAAAGAGCAATATCAGGGCAATCAATCAATCAAACGTTTATTGTCAATGCACAACTTGTGCACAATGAAATTGCAATGCACCAGGGCAGTATAAATGGATGCAATGCACCAGGGCAGTATAAATGGATAAATGTGTAAATGCAATTTAAATAAAATAAAACAAAACCTTATCAAACGGTGAGATTCAAAAAATGTTACTACCCGTTCTCTGGGTGTGGCTTGGTGGGTGTGGTGTGGCGTGCTGGGCATGGCTTGGTTGGCATGGCAAGGGAAGGATACTGCAAAATCTCATTCCCTCCCCATCCCACTAACCTGCTTTCCAGCTCCATTCTCTTGTGTAGGGCAACAAAAGAAGACCCACCCAATCAGCTGGGATTCTGGAGGTAAAGAATAGATGGGGTGGGGCCAGTCAGAGGTGATATTTGCCGATTCTCCGAACTACTCAAAATTTCCTCTACCGGTTCTCCAGAACTGGTCAGAACCTGCTGAATACCACTTGTGTTATTATCAAAGATTGATCAGATGTCTTTATGCATTGCATATTTTTTTAAATGAAAAATTGGAGAAAGCAAAAGTAATTTCATCATTTACCCATAAAATTCATGAAATTAATCCAGTAATATAACATTTTTTTCTAATAGGTTTTTGCTGATTCTTTAGCAAATACACTTTGTTTGATATCAATAAATCTAACTCTAATTGTCACTCACTCCAGTCAAAAGTTAGGCAACATCTTTTAATTATTTAGGTTTGTTTTTTCATTATTATGGCATTACAGGTAGTCCTCAACTTACAACAGTTCATTTAGTGACTGTTCAAAGTTACAACGGCACTGAAAAAAGTGACTTATGACCGTTTTTCATACTTATGACCACTGCAGCATCACCTGTGATGTGATCAAAATTCAGACACTTGACAATGGACTCATATTTATGATGGTTGCAGTGTCCTAGGATCACGTGATCTCCTTTTGTGACTTTCTGACAGGCAAAGTCCATGGGGAAGCACGATTCACTTAACAATTCTGCTATTAATTTAGCTATTTGTAGTGATTCACTTAACAACTGTAGCTAGAAAGGTCGTAAAATGTAGCAAAATTCACTTAACAAATGTCTCATTTAGAAATTTTGTGCTTGACTGTGGTTGTAAGTCGAGGACTACCTGTATTTTCAAAAAGAAATAGGAAAATCTAATTATTCCTGGTAAATTACTTTTTAACAGCAATATTGCATGGAATAGGATACAGTTTTATCTCATATTATCATACTAAACCGTGATTTCTGTATGAATTTTTACTTGAGCTTCTTCCCATTCCAAAATAATTTTTGAAATCATCAGCAGCAATTACCCCAAAATCCAGTGTGATAATCCACCCAATGGTGGGATTCAGGTTTTTTTACTACCAGTTCTGTGGGCGTGGCTTGGTGGGCATTGCATGGCTTGGTGGGTGTGGCTTGGTGGGCGTGGGAGGGGAAGGTTACTGCAAAATCCCCATTCCCTCCCCATCCTACTAACCTGCTTTCCAGCTCTGTTCTCCTGTGCAGGGCAAGAAAAGAAGACCCAGCTGATCAGCTGGGACTCAGGAGGCAGAAAATAGATGGGGCCGGGGCCAGTCAGAGGTGATATTCCAAACTACTCAAAATTTCTGCTACCGGTTCTCCGAACTACTCAAAATTTCCACTGCCGGTTCTCCAGAACTGGTCAGAACCTGCTGAATACCACCTCTGAATCCACCCTGTCCTTGTTATCACAAAGAGGCTGTTTCATCAATCCTCAATCCTGAGTAACCAAGTGACAATTCCAGAGACCCATAACATTAAGAGCAGTGTTTGTTCTACTACCACAGCAATTTATTTTGGGTGTTGTCAGAATAGGATTAGAAAATAAAGCTAGGGTTGCCCTCTACTGGTGTGGAAATCATATTTACAATTTAGCTCTCAGAATAAAACAATGTATTTCACATGATATAGATCCTGGAGAATATTTTGTTTGATTGTTTGATTTATCCCCTGATTTTCATTC